AACAACAACAAACAGACAAGGCATCTAAGCTAGATGAGAACATTTTGCCAGAATCAATCTCAAACCCCTGTTTGCTTCATGTTTTGGAAGCCGCCGAGCTCTAGCACAAGTCAAGTAGAATAAAAGAAGATTTAAGAACTCCTTAATTGACTTTTAATATCCGCCACAGCTCTAGCACAAACGACACCGAAATGAAAAAAGGAACGCTTTTGCCTCTAGGGTTTATGTTCCCCTGTTTCTCGGAAACAGAGGATGAGGAAGGTGCCTATACAATCACGGCAAAGATGAAGCCTTTAACTTTGGCCGTTTGCTCTACTCGCCGAGAGAAGGAACCATCGGAAAAATCAGCCCATTTCACGGCGCCGGTGAGTCCGACATCTGACGGAATTACAACGTCCGGTGGAAAGGATGAAATTTTGCAAGTGGGGTCACATTGTGTGGAGTATGAAATTAATTGGGTCTAGAGTCGAGTCAATGGTGGGACCCATCCCTTCCGAATTTCAAAAGGTCCCACAAAAGGGATTTGCAGCTGATCAGGACAGAGCAACATCGAGCCCTTGATTCAACAATGGTTTTATCCTAGTCTTCTTCTCGGAAAATCCATATTGGTTTTGACAGAAAGATAAAAGTCTAGGTTTTTATTTTGTTGTTGAATGGTGCAGTGCAGTCAAATTCTGCCTTGTTGTTATTTCAATATTGTTACATGAAATTTTCTTTACGGTACAACAAACTTACAGTTATACATAAAAAGCCAGAGTAATACAAAATACAATAATGTAACTCTGAAACGAAAGCCAAACATCTTACAAGCTCTGTTTTTGCCAATACAACCTTGCGACTTGCGAGCCCTCGATGCAAAAAGTTACTATATCATCACATATTCTAAAAATTTTATAGGTTAATTATTGGTGTAAGGTTCTGCAGCCAAGGGCTTATACTTAGCCACTGGTCTGATCCCCACTCGAGTCCTGGTTTAGGTACTTGCAGCTCTGGTAGTGGTGAGATTCCACACGGCCGCTTCAGTGCTGAAGAAGCTTCTTTTCTCTCTGCTTCTCTCTCTTTCTTTGCGTTTTCGGTTTGCTCCTGAAGCATCAAGATCTCGTTTGCTTCTTTCATGGCTACTACCGTTTGAGGATAAGGGAACGAAGTTGTCGTCATCATCAAGTCTTCTTCTTTCCCAACGAAAGAAATAGTCTCGGAAGACGAGAGAGGAGAGTTTGGGGTTGTTTGATTATTCATCTTAGCTTCCATCTCTGCTCTTTGCTCTAATACTTTCAGTGAAGTGGCTTTTCTATAAATCTTACACAGCACAACGTCCTGTGATCATAAAGAGAACACAAGATGATTAGCGACAAAGTTGTTTCTTGATTCTGAAACAGAGCTTTTGTGTGTTTAAGGTACCTTTGGTAAGGTGCAATTATCAGGCAACCGGAACTCGTTCATGACCCAATCAGTCTTGATTCCTCCAGGTGCTCTTCCTCTGTAGAACACAAGGGTCTTCTTGAGCCCAATCAGACGTTTTGGCTCAGACATGCTTATGATTTTACGGTCGGATCCTGTTGCTTTCCAATAACCTTTCTCAGTTGTCCTGCTTGGTCTCCCTCCGTTGCCATGCTTCCTTTCCCTTGGCACAAAGAAGTACCACTCTCTCTCACCGATTTTCGATAAACCTGTGAATCAAAACTCAAGAGTTTAACACAACCTAGAGAGAGACAAAATCAAGCTTGTAAGGATATGGAGAAACCATTTACTTACGAGGCAAGTCCCATGGATCATGACGATAGATGTTGAGGAAACCAATGACTTCGACTTTCCATCTCTTACCGTAAACCATGTTCTTGAGGTAGAAATCAAGCAGCTCCTCCTCGGTTGGGTGGAACCTGAAACCAGGGAGCTCCATCTCTGTTGCCATGTTCTCTCTTCACTGTCTCTTAAAACACTTACCAAAGTTTGGTTTCTTTTAAGAAGATGTGTAAGTGAAAAGGTTGTTGGTGGTATCACTTAGTTAATGTAATGAACATTTATATATAACACTAGCTATAGGACCCATTGTGGTGGAAGATATTTTTCTTTTTCTTTATTTTGTGTGTGTGTGTGTGTGATGTGGGAATGTTTTGAGGGAACAGACCAAGTCAAGAGGAAAGATGTGGAGGAATGCATGATTAACGATTGAATTTTAAAAGTCTTATTGTGCAATTTTTTTCTAATGTGTGTAGTTTTTTCTCTTCTTCTTTTCTTCCATGCTTTTAGATGTTTGTGAATTGTGATGAATATAATTAGAAAGAAGAATAAGGGTCTTGATCAAAGTGGATGGAGCCCACGCGGTTTCATCTTGAGAAAGTTAGAATGGGTCAAGAGGATTGGACCAGAGCTTAGTGTCATTTTGTTTTCTGTTCTGTTTTTTTCTTTTGTTTAATAATTATTTTCAAATCTTCTATTGTGAAAAAGAATCAAACGTTTTTGATCGTGGGACTTCCACCATTTTGTTTAATCTTGAGCTTGACTTTGGAAGTCTCCTCCAAAGACTGGAAGTCTTTTTGCCGTTGTCGCCCGTAACCTATTTTCTTTGCTTTTTTCTTTTGTTTTTTGACACTTTTACTAGCCGATTACAGACACATCCTTGTTATGATTGTGAAAATGTTATTGATTCTGACGATGAGATGTGTTTGGGCAAAATTTAACCGGTTCGCAAGTACAATAAACGGAATGACGCAGGAGAAGATATCTTATTAATCAATTGAATATCGAGCTACAACAAGTCAATATCAAAGATTAAACTAAGAGAATCTCGTCTGTCGCTCGTCGTAGATCGTAGTTCGTCGTATCTAGGTTGTTCGTCGCTTGCTCGTCGAGAGGCGAAGAACAAGTAGCTATTAGGGTTTTTGTGTGTTTTTCTGAATGTCCCCTTGTCCTTGTTATGGGACCTCTTATTTATAGGTGCTTGTCGATCCTAATCCTTGTTGAGTTGGGCTTTGACGTCGGTCGTAATATTCCATTTCCTACGTCGGTCGTCATTCCATCGGTCATTATTAAACCATTAATTAACATCGTTGGTCGCTGCCTCGTCATGTCGATGCTAAGGCCTTTTAGACACTAAGAAGTAAGATCGACCGGTGGTCATCATGGTCGTCAGTCGATCATATCTCCAGCTTGTAATAGAGTTTAAGGAGCGACCGGCTAGTGAATTTATTTCACCCAACAACTTGCCCCCTACTCTTCAATTTCTTGTTTAGAATTTGTAGAGTAATACTTCATTTTCATATCGTCGGTCGGTCGCTTGCTCATGTCACTTGTGTGACTGTTGTTCGTTTACTTTTTTCTTCGTTCGTCGATGGCTTATGCGAGTGACAAACTCTTCTTTTAAATCATGTGGAAATAACTAAGCAAAATAAGAGGGACGTACTTATTTTAATATCCATGTGGGATTGATTAAGAATGGAGATGGACAAGCTTCTTTCTCCAATGACCAATGACAAAGTTTTATTCTTGAAGCATGTACGTCCTTCCCTTTTTTTCCATGTGGGTCCCAAAGAAGTTGTACTTGACCACTCATGTAGCTTTATTAAAATTGAGGAACGACGTACATTAATTATGTAGTTGTGTTGTTTGTTTATGTAGAGAGTGACCAGCGACAAACATGTTTAGTCGTGCCTCTTCCTTTTTTCTCTTAATCGTCGAGCTTCATTCTCTCCAATCTTAAGTAAAAGTATTTTTTCAAATCGTCAGGCGTTGCTCGTCAATGCTGTTTCGGACCTTGCTCCCTTTCTAATGTAGATGTTATTCATTTTTTGTATGTCGCTCATTTATCTTCTTTTGTCGTTCCCTCTCTTTTCAATTGGAGTTACTTTCCTTTTCCTCTTATGTCGTTAATAGATGTTTATCTATTAAGATATTATAGTAGAATTAAGGAGCTCCTTTTTACTAGTAGTTGGTCTTGATCTCATAAGATCTATAAAACTAGCAAGGACAAACACGTTTTATGTTCGTCTTGGTTGATCCTTCGATTGACTACATAAGTCCTTACCTATTGATGAGCGTCGATGAATTCAGAACTTGCTTTTCAACGGATAAGCAGCTATTAGGCTGTGAGGGCTATACCCCTTAGTTTATTGTCATATTTTCACGAGGACGTACCTCTTGATTTTGTAGATGTTGTCACAGATTAAGGACGTACCTCTTCATTTGTAGCTAATGATTTATGATCATAACATTTGGAGGTCGTGCCCCTTTGTTAATCAAAGAGTGATGTGACATCATAGTCTATTGGAGGTCGTACCTCTAACTTATTTGTTAGCGACTGTCGTCTGTCTACGTCTATCATGACTTATCATGGTGAGGTCGTACCTCTTATTTATTTATAGCGACATGACTTATCATGGTGAGGTGTACCTCTTATCTATTTGCTTATGACTTGTTGTCATAGCGAGGTCGTACCTCTAAATCAATTATTGAGGACATGCTCTTCTATATATTGAGTTGCTTATGACTTGTTGTCATAGCATGTGGAGGTCGTACCTCTAAATTAGTTATCAGCGACTGTCGTCGATGTCGATATACATTGAGTACATGACTCTTATCTTCCTAGTGACCATGGTCAATTTGCTCATGAGGCATTGCCTTTAGTTTTTTTTTTGAAGAAACGTCGATCGTCGTTGCTGCTCTATCATGAGGAGGCAATGCCTTTTTTTTTTTTTTACTGTCGTTTGTCATAAGCAGTGCAATGACTGTCGCTCGTCACTAGTTGTGGATACAACGTCGATATTAAAGCGAGTGACGAACATAATCTGAGAATTCTTAAATACTCATATGTAGAAAAACCTTTTATTAAGAAGTTCGTCCGTAGACATGCGCGAAGTAAAGAAAAACAATTGAAAGCAGAGACATCTCGTGGATCGTCTATGACTATGACAATAACGAAATAAATAAAACCAAAACACTGAAAGCCAAACTAACCTAGAAGAGGTAGGTTTCGAGGTTCGTTTCATCAAGATCTTTTTCCGTCAGTGGATCTCACAGAGTTGTTCCACCTCTGCTTCTTTGGTATGTGGAATCGACGATTGGATCTCTAGTTGATATAGCTCATGACCTTTCCCTTTTAGGGTAGTTTGGTAGCATGAACGTGCATGCTCTTGTTCTCCCTTGATCTCTTTGACTCCCCATGGAGTAGGAAATTTTATGGTTTGATGGAGTGTCGATGGCACTGCCCCCATGTCATGAATCCAGGGACGTCCCATAATTGCGTTGTACGCAGTAGCACAATCTAGTATCAGAAACTTTGTCTGTCGGTTAATTCCTCCTGCATACACAGGCAGCGTCACTTCTCCTATGGTCTGCTTTACTTCACCGCTAAATCCTACCAGTGGTGTGGATTTTCGCGTCAGTGCATTCTCATCCAGCCCTAATCCTTTGTAAGCATCCATGAAGAGAATGTTGGTCGAACTCCCATTATCAACGAGTGTCCTTTTCATCAGACTATTAGCGATTGTCAAAGATATGACTAATGCATCATGATGTGGAGCTAGGACACACTTATCTTCATCTGAAGCAAAGCTAATCGTGCACTTCGACAGTCGCTCGCATATAGCTTTGACATCTCCATGATGAGTTCTAGCTATTCTAGTACTCTTTTTAGCAGCAGAATGAGTAATTCCACTAACCTCTGATCCTCCCGATATCACGTTGATGATTCGATCATGCTCCGGAGATTGAGCAGGAGATGGTTTTCTTTGCACCTCGTCATTGCTTCTGTCGTCGATGCGACTCTAGCCCTGTCGGACAAGTGTTCTCTCAAGTGACCTTTTTTTAGTAGCTCGTTTACTTCCATTCTCAACGTGATGCAATCTTCTGTTCTATGACCATGGTCAGAGTGAAAGTCGCACCACTTTGATGTGTCTCTTCGTTCCCCTGGTGCTTTCATCTTTTGAGGCCATCTTACTCCAGATATATGATTAAGAACATTGACTAGTTCTGCAGGAGATATTGCGAGGTTACTCATGTCTGGCCATGTGGATGATGAGCGTTGGTCGCTCTCAATTTGGTTGAGTGGTCGATGGTCGCTTCTGCTGTCGCTTCTCTTGCTAGTGCTTTCACTGCGTGGTCTCTGGTACGGTCTGTCATCTCGAGAGGGACGCTCGTTCCTAACAACACGCGAATCAGATCGTGGGGAAAGTAGGTGTCGATATGCAGGGTCTTCCTCCCACCTTATTTGAGCCCATGCTCTAGATAGCACATCTTCCATCGTTCTGCACTGGTACTTCGTCAGTTCCTTGTACAAATCACTGTCTGGGAGCAATCCTCTTTTGAATGCAGAGATGGCAGTGGACGTGACACATGCCGGAATGGATACTTTCTCTTTGTTGAAGCGACCTACGTAATCGCGCAACGGTTCTCCTCTCTTCTGTATCACTTCATAGAGATCGTCGGCTGTCCTTTCTATGTTCCTGCTGCTCGCGAATTGCTCAACAAAGCGGTCTGTCAATGACGCGAACGAGTCGATTGACGCGTTCGGTAGGTTCGTAAACCACTGAAGAGCTGGTCCCGTGAGGCTAGATCCAAATCCTTTACACATACTAGCTTCGCGATATTCTTTTGCTATTGCCGTTGTGAACATGCGTTGCTTGTACTGGGCTATATGATTATCAGGGTCGGTCGTCCCGTCGTACATCTTCATTGAAGGGACGATGAACTTCTTTGGCATCTCAACCAAAGCGATGGCATCCGTGAAGGGAGTGTCTGCATAGCAATTAGGAGCACTTTTGGTGATTGGAGGAGCTACTCCTGGAAGTCGCGCGAGCAAGAGCTCCATAGCCTCCAATCGCTTTGAGAACATAGTATGCGAGTCTTCAGATTGATGTTCCATCGTTGGTGCAAGGGGTGGAACCAATGTTTGGTTACCTTGCGCAGCGTCGGTAGCTCCTGTTCCTAGGGCTGCTCCTGTTGCACCCGTAAGTGGTGGAGTGTCGAACGATTGCATAGGAGGGAACCGGTGCTCGATATCTATTGCGAGCCTGAACCAATGACGCGTTTTCTGCTCGTAGGGTTGCGTTCTCCGCCTGGATTTGCGCAAGTCGTTCTTCGTTCTGCTTCATCTGAGCTGTGAGAGCCTCCAGCTGAGCAACGGTGACGGTCGGTGTTTCGGTCGGTGTGGTATCATCTCCCGCCGCCATGTCTCACGTAGTTAAAATTGCCCCTCCTTCTAGCGCCAAACTGTTTGGGCAAAATTTAACCGGTTCGCAAGTACAATAAACGGAATGACGCAGGAGAAGATATCTTATTAATCAATTGAATATCGAGCTACAACAAGTCAATATCAAAGATTAAACTAAGAGAATCTCGTCTGTCGCTCGTCGTAGATCGTAGTTCGTCGT